TCCAGCCAGCCAATCCACTGGCGGGGGGGAGGGGGCTATTTAAACCGAGGTGCGAGCCAGAGAGCTTTCTGGCTTGCTTCCTCAATCAGCGCTCGCCCTGAACTAGCGCAGAGCTGCCTGCAGCAGAAGAGCCCACGGTGCTCTTCTGCTGAGTGCTCTGTGCGCCCAAGTTGGGGGGGGGGGCGAGCGAGGCACTGAGGAAGTGAAGAAGAGGAGGAGAAGCATAGAAAAGAGTTGTGCCGCGTTGCGAGACAGAGAGACAGAAATTAAAATTATGTCTGATTCAATTCCTCTGACCTGCTCATCAAACAATGCACCAGAAATGGAGTCAACAAAGGAAGCAAGGTGAGAAGGCTATGAAAGATGGAATGGCCCATGGCCCTGGGGGAGATGAAACTCAGGGCTCATTCACATTCCTATTTGCCATGCAGGAAACCCTCTCTTTGGTGCTAAATTGGAACAAATGGCAATCACCAATTTAGCACCAAAGCCAAGGTTTCCTGGGGGAAATTGGTGGGACAAAGGCAATACCTAGAAAGCATGGGACAAGCAGGGAACAGCTCAGAGTTGTGCTTCCTAGGCACTCCCTAGTGGAAGTGTGGACGAGCCCTGGGTGGCAAGGCAGCATAACCATGGAAAGGTTTAAGCAGGACTTCACCATGCAAGGTACAAGAATGGATGAAAAAGTAGACCCTCAAAAGATAGCATGTATTTTTGCCCATAGCTGAGCATACAACAGTAGGGATAGGCTGGGCCATAGCTAGGGGGTGCTGAGGTGGGCCCCCGCCAGGGGCGCAGGCAAGGGGGGTACAAAATCAGCTTAAAATATGTCCATAAATATGTCTATAAAGAAAAATATTGATTATTGCCTCATAAGAAAAGGTTTTAAATAGAGGGTGAATTGAACGGGTGGCAGGGGGGTGGGTTGGAGGAGAGGCAGAAAGAAGAGCTAATTTGTCCGTGGCTAGGGGGCGCAATCTGGACGGTTCTGCCAGGGGTGCAAGATCACCTAGCTATGGCTCTGGGCACAGGCAGTCAAAGAAGCAGGAGGCAGGGCAAAGTGAGGTAGAAAATAAAGGGAAGGCTTGTTGCACTCAGTTCATTAATAAAGCTGTTTCGAGTTCCGCTCCTCTGACCTGCTCATCATTACAAGGACCAAGAGGGTGTGACTGTTGAAGAGATGCCCAAATTTCAAAATCAGTTATGGGGAATCTATGGATGCTCTGGGAAGATGGGCCTAAAGGCATTTCCCAGATGTCCCTAATTTCCTTACTGCAGGATTTATTTCATCAAATTTATGCACTGCTTGATTGGGGGGGAAAGCAACTGTGGATAAGCCCATGTGTACATTAAAACCAAGGACTTACCCACACTTCCTCTTGTTCAACTGCTTCACGACTGGGAAAACAGCTCTTTAGTGCTAAATTAGAGCAAATGGCAATTTAGGTTTTCTTTCCCTGGATTGCCATTTTTTCCGATCTATCACTAAAGAATGATTTTTCCATTGGAAAGGAGTGGGGCAAGGGGGAAACCACTCAGACCTATGCTTTCTAGATGTGTAACAAGTGGGAGTTTGTGAGCCCCGGGGGGGGGGGATACATTTAAAACATCCTGCCCACTTCTAAAAAAAAATCCACAAACAGTTAAAGGTCAAAGCCTGGTTATAGAGGAATGGGGGGGGGAAGTACCTAAATATATACCGTATTTTTTGCTCTATAAGACTCACTTTTTCCCTCCTAAAAAGTAAGGGGAAATGTGTGTGCGTCTTATGGAGCGAATGCAGGCTGCGCAGCTATCACAGAATCCAGAACAGCAAGAGGGATTGCTGCTTTCACTGCACAGAGATCGCTCTTGCTGTTCTGGCTTCTCAGATTCAGAATATTTTTTTTCTTGTTTTCCTCCTCCAAAAACTAGGTGTGTCTTGTGGTCTGGTGCGTCTTACAGAGCGAAAAATACGGTAGTTACCTGCCACCCCAACTCTACAAAAGGTGTGAGACTGCAGCTCTGAATTATACCATGTATATACTCTGGTTGATCCAAAAGAGTATTCATTATCTCAACAGTCTTACAAGTTTCTTTCTTTCCCTCATCGCCCTTCTATTACAACCTCTTTCCTCTGAATAATAAATAATTGGATTTCTATTTGGTTCCCTGACTTTTCTTCTTTTTCTCTCTTGAGATTTTATCTGTGTTGAAATTATGTACATAACATGTACGTCACTGGACTTTTGTTTCCTTCTGTATGCATTATAAAAGAAATATAAATTCAAAAATCCAAATAAAAAAGGAAGGACACCCTCATTGTACATTTGCTCCCTCACAAGACAAAGGGAAGCGCACGGAGGCAGGAGGCAGGCATTAGCTCTTCAGCCCACAGCTGCAAGCAGCCTTTACTCCCTGCTCACTCAGACTGCTGGTTGTTCTAGGGGCAATACGATCCTGTTTACCTCCTTCGGATGAAAGAGTGATCGGGAGACGTGTTCTTTTAAGGTGTTTGTTTTGTTTCAATGTGCAACTAGTATTTTAGCCTTCTCCTCTGTTTAGCTTCTTTTCGTGTCTTTGCATGCTCACTGTTCTCAGTAATTGGAGAGACGTCCAGTCCCCCCCCCCCCGCTTCTGACTCTCCCCCCTCCATGCTAACCTTAGAAGGGCGAGGGGGTCCCCTACAGGTGGAAAAGGTCCCCTGCAGCAGTTTTATGGCATGGCCATCCCTAGTTATCAGTACCGGTGAAGGGGAGTCTATAAATATTTTTTAATAGACAAGGACACAAACAAATCCCTGCTGAGGGGCACCCACAATTGTGGGGTTTCAGGAGACCATGGTGATGCATCTCCAGCTGTTTCCATTGGCTACAGAGTACCTGTGACATCACAAAAGTACATGGCGGATATATAAGTGGCTATAAAGGTGGGCCTTATCTTGTTCCCTCAAGAGAGCACAGAGGGCAGCAGCTGTGACATGCAGCATTGCCCAGCTTTATTCCACCTGCAGGAGGTGAATTTGAAGATGGACAGAGATGATTATCTGGCAGTGGGATGCTGTGGAGCAATAATAAGGCAAGTTCACTTGCTGAGAGGGACCTCAGCTTGAAGGGGGCTGATACCCAGTGTCAGAAGCAGGTTGGTGTCTAGCTGCGGACCTTGTGAAAGTTGGCAGGTGTTGGTGGGTGGAAGGTGGTGGAATTCCCATTCTGTAAGGCTGGAGCAGGCTGGTTTTGTCTTTAGGAGCTGGTGAGTATTTGTGGGTTGGAGACAGGGCACATTTGTGAATGGATGGAGAAAGATGAGGGAATAAGTCTGTTGAAGTTCTTCACAGATATTGCTTGGTATATGCTTGTGTGTGAGAGAGGTTTTGACTGTGGTTGAGGCTAATGGGTGTGCACAAATGTGATGTGTGAAAGAATATTAATGAATAGATGAAACCCATAGAAGTTGGCAGGCAAATGTCACAAAAGTAAATAGTGGCTGAGGGGAAAGAGGTAGTTCTTATGGGGAAGCAGGCAGGGAGGGTAGAGACCCATCAGGAGAAGGAGGCAGAGGAGAAATCAAGGCAGGACCAGCTGGAGACACAGTAAGTGGGGGAAAACATTTGGCTCCTTCTTGTCTAAGTTGCCAACTTTTTGTGCTTGTCTTGTGCCTGTCTCACCTATATAGCTGTAAAAAAACTAAAAACTAATGCTATCACTGAGAATTCCCACCCCTACCCATCCCTGATAAATTTATTAGGATCTCTAGGTTTTGAAAAGTTATGCTTTAGTTGAAATATGCCTGCTGGGTCTAGTAAGGTGTTGATCCTTCAATGTGAACTTTCATCCATGTATTTTATTTTAAATGATTTTATAAGCTGCTTAGACTTTTCAGTGTACAAGGTAAAAGAATAAACAATATCATTAAAGCAGAAATACAGCAGAAGATCAGCAAAGCAGTAAGTATGAAAGCATGTTGAAACCAATAAAAGCATACCTTTGGGGTAATTCAAACAATTTAAAACAGAGTCCAATCTTATGGGTCAGGGAAAAGAAAAAGAATCTACAAAAAGATACTTTGTGGAATCGGGGGGGGGGGAATCAGACTGTGAGCCATAATGAGCCACAAAGACCGGGGTTTGAATGTCACTTCTGCACTCAACTAAAGAGAATGTTTTACCCTCGGTCTCCCTCCTTCCTCCCTGCCCCACATATTTACATAACAGTCTGAGATACTTGCAGCTGCCAGTGCCATGCTAGAAATTAAACCTGTGCCGATATGGCTGGGGGATGCTACCTAACACTCCACAAGAACATTGGGCTTCCTAGCTCAGCAGTCCCCACATCTGTCTTTGCCAATGTGGGGTTTTAAGGTTCCAAGGACCCCATTAAGTTCCCCTGCAACACTTTCATCACCCCAGTTTGAGATGTGAAGCCTAAGCTTTAGGAAGCAGCCCCAGTTGCAGTATGTGTTTTCTTTCTTTCTTTTTTAAAAAATATTAAATTGTTTAAAAGTGCAAACATAACAAAATGTAAGAAAACAAAGATTTTAAAATTCAATCTGTATAGCTTCTCAGCCAGGAAGGACAAAAATACAAGGATCTAGAGCAGCTTCAAAGCAATTTCCTTTTAGGAATAATAAATATTTATTAAAGTATTATCCACTTGTGAGTGCCATCGTTATTGAGAATAAAGGTTCTATATAGTCTTAAATTGAGTCAGGCATTTGCATATGCTGGTGGTACAAATACTGTCACTTTCCCCTGGGAAACCCAACCTTTAGCACTCGAGATTAAAGTTAAAGAGCAAGTTTTCCCTAGGAGAGGAACAGGGCAAGGGGGAATCTGCCAGAACCGTGCTTTCTAGGCATGAAACAAGCAGAAGTATGGATGAGCCCTGAGTGACCACCTGCCTCAATATTTGTGTAACAAATAAAACCATATTGGGGGGGGGGGGGAGAGTCATTCAAGCTCTACCCTTTAGATGCTTTTAGTTTGTGAGAAATCTTTTCAAGGACAGCATTTTGCAAAAACCCTTGAAGACCAGCATCCAGATGATTAAGATTAATATCCAAATTACTGAGAGGTGTGCTTCCTTTGCTTACAGATATACACCAAAGAGCCCCCCGAGGAAGCCAGACAGATCCAAAGAACTGGAAGCAGATTCTTCACAGAGCAACTCCTATAGGAACCCACTCTCCAAAATGCTGCGCCTCAAGGTATGTCCACCTTAAAACCTTGCTTCTTCTCTCACTGTATGAAAAGGGGATTTAAATCAGGAAATATTGCTGTGAATTTCCCACTCAGGAACTGCACTCCTAATTATCTGCTTCCCCTGTGGTTTGAACCCACCACTGTTTGCAAACAATTTGTAAAGAATAGTCTGTCGGCAAAGGCAACCCCATTTAGGGAAATTTAGCATATTGTAATTTTATTTGTATTAAGGGTTTTTATTAGTTTTATTCTTGTGTTTGTACTGGAATATAATTAGCTGTTCATGCCTCTGAAATCCTAAATAGGATGGGTAGTATATAAATGTTTCTGAGTTGTTAGGAGACTGCTATTCCTCAGTTCCCAGAGCTTCAGTCCCCAAAGTTCTCCGGGAAGAGGGACTGGTGGTTAAACCAGTCTGAGAACATGTGGAGACTCTTTTCGGGAGGGAGAGAAGCAGGGAGTTGGGACAACCAACTTTTTTGCTTCCATATAACACTCGCGTTAGTTTTTCTGGTCTTCCTGCTGCCTCCCCCCCCCCCCGTGCTTCTTCTTTATCAGTGGTAAGATTTATTATTTTCCTCTGCCCCCATCCAATTCTGCTTTCACATCTTGAGTTTATCTGGAAAGTATACTGTCAGGGAACGACTTGGCTGAAGTTGCTGGAGTAGACTTCGTTCCTTTAATGAAGACCAGGTTGCTTTCCTAATGCCTGAAATGTGCCGCGGCGAAAGCAATCGCGGGGAGGAGGGTGGGCGTGGGGGCGGTGTTGGCAGGAAGGATGGCGGAAAGCGAGCGCTTGTGGCTTTGCAAACCTCTTGAACCTTGGGGGATTTTTGACAATCTTCAAGGCTTTATCCAAATCCCAGCAGCTTCAGTGGGAAATGGGAATCCTTCTTTGCCCGGTAGTGATTCCTGCCCATCAAACAGCTTGGAGTCAGGTGAGAGGAGGGTGAGCCCATAGGTCTTGTAAACTCTGAGGATCCACTCATGGGTGTAGCCAGGGGGGCAGGGCAGCTGCCCACAGGCATAGGATTTTTGTTAGAGGGGTTTTTGGGAGAAATCACGGGTAGAAATACGTGATTTCATTACGCGGGGCAGGCTTCTGCTGGGGGGGGGGAGCAGAACCTCAGTTGAGTGAGTGCTTTCAGTGCTGCCCCAACTTCAGCTCCAAAGCTGGAGTATGATAGACCATGTGGGAGAAGAGACTCAGCAAAGAGCATTTAAGAAGGCTGAACATAGCAGACCTAGTAAAGTAAGTGAAACTCTTTTGCCCTACCACAAAAAGCCTCTGCTCATCTCTCTTGCTCAGCCATGGGTATGTCTAAGGAGTCAGGGAGGGGCAGCTTCCCCCCCCTCATCAAGTAAATCAATACAAAATCTTAACTGAGGTCCTGCCCCACCCCCCACCCCAAACATAAATGTTGGCTATGCCCATGTGCTCAGCCATGCACACCACTTGTACCATAGAGCTGTCATTCAGTGCCTTACAGAAAGTAAAGACATGGCTAGTGACAACGATGACAGGGGAGTGTCTCAATGGGCTTTGGTTACTGAGTATGCACCGAAAAAACTGCATTGGGAAAAAAGGAGGAATTTGAGAAAGAAGTGCTGAAAAGGTTTTCAGCAAATCCAAGAAAACTTGTTTTAGTTTTGTTTTTTTTAAAGCAACATAAAAAACACATGTTCCTTGTAATTTCGCAAAATATACCCGTTAACCACATGAAAGGTACTCCCTGGTGCTAATTGTTTTATTTAACTTCCTAGTTTTCAAATGACTGAAGATTTTGACTGGATTTTTCTGAGCACTTGGGGGCAAAAGAATAATTTAAAACAACTGTTGTTGAGGCATTTCATTCCGAATCTGCTAGAGAGCCTGACAGGGGTTGATGGCAAGAGGGAGTCCTGCCCTCCACCACCCCAGAACACAAATCCTGGCTACGCCCATGGTTCTGTGCCCATATAAGCTCCCACAGTGAAAGAACCAAACCAATTCAAATTACAGGAAACATTAGGAAGAACTTTCTGACAACAATGGAATGGAGGTGAGTTTGGAAGATGGTGGACTCTCCTTCATTGGAGGTTTTTAAACCAAGGTTGGATGGCCACCTGACAGGAATTCTTAAACTGTGATTCCTGGATTGCAGGGGGTTGGACTAGACCCTAGGGTGTCCCTTCCAACTCTGCAGAGGATCATCAAGTCTAACCCCCTTCAGTGCAGACATCTTAACTACAGCACCCATGACAGGTGGACATCCAAAAAAACCTCCAACGAAGGAGAGTTCACCGCCTTCCAAGTAAGTCTGTTCCACTGTCAAACAGCTCTTACTGTCAAAAAGTTCTTCCTGTTTAGTCAGAATCTCCTTTCTTGTAACTTGAAGCCATTGGTTCGAATCCTACACTCCCGAGCAGGAGAAAACAGGTTTGCTCCATCTTCCATGTGACAGCCCTTCAGATATTTGAAGATGGCTATCATATCTCCTCTCAGTGTCCTCATATCCAGGCTAGGTAAAGGTAAAGGGTAAAGGGACCCCTGACCATTAGGTCCAGTCGTGACTGACTCTGGGGTTGCGGTGCTCATCTCACTTTACTGGCCGAGGGAGCCGGCGTACAGCTTCCGGGTCATGTGGCCAGCATGACTAAGCTGCTTCTGGCGAACCAGAGCAGCACACGGAAACACCGTTTACCTTCCCACCGGAGCAGTACCTATTTATCTATGTGCACTGTGATGTGCTTTCGAACTGCTAGGTTGGCAGGAGCAGGCACCGAGCAATGGGAGATCACCCCGTTGCAGGGATTCGAACCGCCAACCTTCTGATTGGCAAGCCCTAGGCTCTGTGGCTTAGACCACAGCGCCACCCTGTGTCCCTCATATCCAGGCTAAATATACCCAATTGCCTTAATCAAAGAATGTATCAATTTTACGACATAAATAAGGACAACCAGGAGTCAGGCTCAGCAAGCAAGGGAAACCCATGCCACCTTGGAACCCAGCTGGACCTCATTACTGAAGCAAAAATCACCTGCAAGCCCTTTAAACCCCTTAGGGCCCAGGGAAAGCCAATGGCTAACCTGGGTGGGCAGTCAAGCCCAGATCTGGACCATTCTTTACTGAGCTGCTGCATTTATGTGGCTCACCACATGAGGGCAGCAGTTCATGAGGAAGGCGAAGGCCTTGGACTCTGCCCTGGACTCATTAAGGAATGGTGGCACAAACACCTAACTAATAATTATAATGCTTGCTAGTAGAGGTGAGAGAGCAGCTCTGTGGGCATAGCCTGTTTTTCCCCCTTCTTGTTCAGGTTTTACATAGTCATTTAGAATAAACAAAACATGTCATGTAACAACAACCGTGTTAGGCAGGTCAGTATCATTATGTTGCAGATGGGAAACTGAGGCTGAAAAAGGCAAGCCTCAAGCCACATGGCAGAGGTGCAGTTTGACTCCTGATCCAATTTAATTTCAAACTGATAAGGTTTTTTATTTATTTATGTTGTAAAATTTATACACTGCTTGGTTGTTGTTTTTTAAAAAATGAAAGCTCTCACAGCTGTCTAAAAACTGCTGTCTAAAATAATTGACAAGGAGAATTAGCAACAATAGTTTTAAGACTTTCCTCCTCCTAGTGGTGCAGTAAAAAATTGCTAGCACATTGGCAAAGCTAAGCAGGGTCTGGTGTGCGTTGCAGGGGATTGGCCAAATCAGTGTTTCTCAACTGGGGTGTTGGGGGTCACCTGGGGCCCCCAGGATATTCCAAGGGGGGCACAGGTGAAAATCACGTAACTGGGGAGCCACGGCACGAGACTAGGGGGCCACAGAGGGAGGCGAGAAGTGAAGAAAACAGAGACGTGGCCGAGAAAAGAAAACAACAAACAACAAACAAACAGAAGTAAAGCAAATACAGTGGTACCTCGGGTTACATACGCTTCAGGTTACATACGCTTCAGGTTACAGACTCCGCTAACCCAGAAATAGTACCTCGGGTTAAGAACTTTGCTTCAGGATAAGAATAGGAATCGTGCTCCGGCAGCGCGAGGCCCCATTAGCTAAAGTGGTGCTTCAGGTTAAGAACAGTTTCAGGTTAAGAACGGACCTCCGGAACGAATTAAGTTCTTAACCTGAGGTACCACTATAGAAAGCAGAGAAGTGGAGTGAACCGAGAAGTGACCATAGTTCCCACTGGATGGATCGCCACACACCCCCCCCAACAGCAACGTTGCTTCCATTTCCTTCTCCCTCCCACTTTGGGATAAAGCAAAATTGTTTTTCATGGCATTTCCTACTTTGTATTTGGTAGAATCAGGTTTCAGTAGTGTGAATTATTTGCTCGGCCTAATGCGGAATCGCCTCAATGGACAGAGATGATCTTCGGTTATCCCTCACAGAGATAGAACCGGATATAAAAAAGCTTGTTTCTGGTCCTCAAGAACAAGGTAGAGAAATACTTAAAAGTATAAGTTTTTACGTAATTGTCTTTTCTATAAATTATAAAAATTGTAAGTAAAGCATGTTCCATTTACAAACAAAACTGCCTTTCTTAATAACTACCTTTGTATAGGTAGGAAGGGGGGCACAGGAAGGAAAAAAGTTCAGAAGGGGGCCACAGCTCAAAAAAGGTTGAGAAAATTTGGACTAGATGACCCTCAAGGTTTCTTCCTACTCTGCCATTCTATGATTCAAAAATTGAAATAACAATAGACTGAAAACAGGTTGAAACTCACATCAGCTTTCTAAACATCTGGGTAGAAAGGTAAAGGGTAAAGGGACCCCATCTGGGTAGGCTTGTCTAAACAAAATGTGTTTTCAACAGGTGCCAAAAAGAATACAGTCAAGGTGCCTGCCGGATTATCAATAGGCAGGGAGTTCCAGCAATACTGCTTTTAAGCAGGACAGGGCCTAGTAGGGTGATTTTAAAAGGGTTTTTAAAAAAACAAAAAAATAAGCAAAATCATCACAAAATGGTGCAGGGACTCCAGTACCCTTTGTAATCCTTCTTGGCACCTCCTGG